TCTACATGCACATGTTCTTTGGTTCAAGTACACAGCATAAACCTCATGTACTGACCTCACCTCAAATTGTTGCACTCCACTGGGAATTACATACCAATACCTATAAAATAAAGGAATATAGTATAAAATTAGTACTTGGAAATTACATGCCAATACCTATAAAATAAAGTATATATACCTTAGATGTTTCCTCCTTGTCCACTATTTTCTTTCTAATAGATGGACATATGGCTAGATTCCATTTCTGCCCCTTCAATCTTTTACAATACATCCTATCCATCACAAACCTCCTAATTTCCTCTAACATTGTTATAATCGGCTTTTTCCTAGCATGCACAATTGTAGCATTAAAAGATTCACAAATACCATTCTCAATGGCATCACAAGACCTGTCCAATACAAAAAAGCCCTAGACCAGGATTTTGGATCTCTTTCCATCAAGTGATCATACGCTTGTATATCAATCACCCTAATCTCTTTCATTATACCTTCAAACCTCTGCACAGTTGTGGCCTTTGCAGCCCTCCAAAAAAGCTTCCTATATGCAGCACCCTTAAATTTTTTCTTGAAATTAGCATAGACGTGCCTAGCACATTGCCTATGCTCAACATCTGGTACTCTTTCTTTAACAGCCTCAATAAGACCCTAAACATGCAAGATAAACATAACATTAAGATAAACATAACATTAAGATAAATAAAACGGTAACCAATTAAAAAACAGTTAGGATAAATACCTTGTGTTGGTCAGAAAGTAAGGTTAATCCTGCCCCATTTCCCATGTTAATGTCCTTAAGTAGTAAGTTTAGAAACCACTTCCAAGTTTCTTTGTTCTCAACTGCAACTACTGCCCAAGCAATGGGGTAAATATGGTTGTTAGCGTCTCTACCTACAGCTGAAAGAAGCTCACCTCTACAAATACCTTTTAAAAAGCAACCATCTACACCTATAACCCTCCTGCATCCTTCAATCCAACCATCCTTTACACCTTTGATACAAACATACATCCTAGAAAAATAAATTGTGGAATCAGGCATTGTATCCGTCCCAATTTTCACTGTTGACCCTGGATTAGCTCTTAATATCTCAGCTCCATAACTCCATAATTTTTCATAATGTGTGTTCAAACTACCTTCGATCTCATTAAGTGCAAACTTCTTTGCATTCCTGCATTGTCCAACACTAACCTTCACATTGAAAATTTCCCCAACTTTATCCCTCATTTCCCTGCAACTCATTTTGGGATTTTCTAAAATACATTAACAAAATGTTTCCCTATCCATGAGTAAGTAACAACTGACCCAAACTTGAAGGTTCTAGCACAGTTATGCTCATTACGTAAGGACTTAATTTGGAATGACTTTTCACTGCTCATCCAAGTAGCCCATAGTCTAAAAGGACATGCTGCCTTTCCTTCACTAGTTTTACAACACCTGACTAGCAACCTAGTTTTATCATTTTTTTCATACCAAAGGTTAAAACCGTTTGCTACTGCATAGTTTGAGACAAGCTGTTTAAGTTCTTGAGGGTTACAAAACCTCATACCAAGGATGGGTTGCATTGTATCCCATTTCTGAGTTGAGTCATGAAAAGGGTAAATTGAGGGCTTCTTTGGTTCCATTATCTGAATCATCATCCTCATCAACAAAAATCATCTCTAGGGACAACACTAATATAGTTAAGAAAGGGATCATCAGATTTAGTCAATGGTATTACCTCTTCATCGGGTTCATGATCAACAGATAGAGCATCAGACATGACCGAGTCTTTATCTTCATCAGAGCTTTCACTATCAACACTTTTTTCTTCCTTTTCTTCCTCTATCCAGTCAAGCACCGAATCGTTGTAGTGATCAATATATACATTAATCTTTCCCTCGTTACCATGTGCAGCATCAAGAAACCTCCTGTAGTCATCATCGTTTTTCAGTGGTGTCAACCCATCACGCATTGACTTATGCCCAAGACAGTAGTAGACAACAGGACACTTCCCCTTTGTGACATCCTCAAGAACATGAATGAACTCCTTGAAATTTATTCCACCAAAATCGACATCTGTAATTGACGTTTTTTGATTCAGGTAGTATATAAGATGAGGAATGGGGGAAAACATTCCATCGTAATGAACATCTACTTGAATGTAAGTTGATCCTTTTGCATTAGATGGACCAGCCATGATCGATCTCAAACAAAACTTCGACTGAGAAAACCCTACACAACGATCTTGGTATGGGGTGTTTAATCGTGCTTTGAGAGTGTTTAATTGAGGGTGAGGGTGTTTAATGGAGAGGGGTGAACCACGTATTTTCCACATATATTATTTTTAAATAAATAAATTACCGGGATACCTATTGTATCCGGTTACCAATGGTAAACTATGTACAGAAAACACATTTTAATGGTACTTTTTGTTAAAAAAAAACGTTAATGGTATAATGTGAACACGGGAAAAACATCATTACCCTTACAAGTCATTTTCCCTATTATAAAAAGGCAACCTTTTAAGGTATTTAAAAAATAACAATATAATCAAGAATAGGTTTTTTCAAATCCGATAAAAATTGGATCCCAATCCATTTAGACCGGTGGGTGTACAATCATTATTACGGTTGCGAGTTAGTGCCACCTGGCATCGCGGTGGGTATAAATGGGTTGGCTGCAGTGAGTACCACCCCAAGAAACAAATCTATCGCACCCATTGTCTCTTTTCACTCCCATCCATGGGTTAGTTTTTCTAATTTTTAATTATTTAACATTCTATAAATCAAGTATATGTTAAGATTGAGATTTTACACAATATCATTTTATATTTTGAAAGATTGTAATTGTATCGTAAAATCCAAATAAAATGAACTCATATTCAAATTTGCTTGTAAAAATTAGGATGATTAAAATGTAGATATGGAGTCAACTTTATCTATTTAAACATAAATCATAATTTTTGTTGTTGCAAACCGTAAAAATTAGGAAGTAAACATCTTAAATGCAAAAAGAAACAAAATCATTATGGTTATGTACAACTAAAAGCTTAAGATCACAAATGGGATATCATGAGTATGACCTGCTTAATCCGAAACGAATCTGTGAAACTCTGAGGCTTTTTGAAACTTGTGATGCTCGATTTCAATTGAATATATGAATTTTTGAAACTCGAGTGTATAGCAAAATTAGAGAGGTGAGATCAGATCATGTTAAGATATTAAGATCCTAGTTGAGATCTTAAAATCTCACTATACATGCTTCAAATAGATCCTAGTGAGACCGAGATTGTTTTATGCTTTTAGGATCTTAAAATTGTAAAATTTGAAGATCAAGATCAGGATCTTAACAATCATGCTATAAATACCAACATTTTGACCTTCAATTTCACACTTTCTATTATCCTTCTGTCATTCATTTTTTTTTAAATCTAATTGTATTCAAACAATTCTCCTAACAACCTTAACACAAGATCCTGTACACCTAGAAATCTACTCTCTATCCGTTAATACCATTTTACTGATAAAATATAAACTTCTGTATTTTTCACCCACCAATGTTCAATTTTAAAATATGTAAAAATTTAATCATATTACAACTCTTATCGCAAACTTATTTAACAACTTCTCGTCTCTTCCCGAATATGTTCCTAAACACAACCTCGTCCGATCCAAAAGTCGAATTCATGCTAGAAACGCAACCCTCACCTGAAGACATCATTGAAACCCAACTAAAACTCGTTGCTGAACTATCCTAATTCAAAGGAAAAATGAAAACAATACGCTCAAATTTGGTCTTCGAAGGAAGAAATCATGTTGACTTGTTCGTAGGTTGACATATCGGAGGAGTCGAATACCAAAAATATGCAAGCGAATTATCATTTTTGAGACGCGTTACATACGTTTTCATAATAAAATGTGTCGAAGTGAGTAACATACAACACAACAGTTGGCAATCAAGTATCAAGATGTGAATAGTTACAATGTTCAATGGGTATACAACTTAAAACGTAACACGAAATTGGACAAAATAATGAAGACATTTTTGATAAGTCACTAAATATACACCAGTTGGAAAATTAAGACATTTTTGATAAGACATTAAATATACACCAGTTGGAAAATTAAGAGAAGACATTCCAATATATTGAGTTTTGGAAAGCTTTACCGTGTAGCCCGAAATGGCTAGAGGTAGATAAAGAAATTGTTGCATCAAAACGAATAAAACATCTTAAACAAGCTACACAATTTCCTCAGATGCTCGTGTTGGGTAAGACTTGAATGATGATGACGAGATTGAATTCGAGGAAATAGTCTACCAGATAGGTAGGCATAAAACAAATAAGTAAGTTTCTTTCTCTAGTGCATCGAGATTAAACAAAGCAGATGAAATACAAAAGATGGCAATAAACTTTGAATAATACAATTTGAATTTTAATGAGTGTTTGGAATTAGAGAAAGACGTATTAGTTAAAAAAGAAAGTGCACTAAGAAAAACAACAAATATGATGGGTTTTGGTCATAAGACATCCTATGTGCTCATACAAACCCTAATGCTTGGATCTAGGTTTCTCTATTGTACATGCTTTGAATCCAAGACTATAAACCCTAATTCTAACATATGGAAATCAACATTAACATATAATTAGGTTTAAGAACATACCTTGATTGTTATGTAGCAATAACAATCACAAATCTCCTTGTATTGACTTTGGAATGCTTAGAGTCACAAGTGTCACTCCTCTAATGGCTCACAAACACCATAAGCAAATGGAGAAGGTATAAAGAGAGAGGTGAGAGGTTAGAATTCGTATCTAGGACCTCTTGGGAAGGGATACACGAATTCATGACCCTAAGGGTGTTTATATTGGTGTAGAGATAGGGTTTCAGTCATTATCCTTATCTAGTTGATTATCCATTAAGCAACCAATAAGATAATCCTTGAATCCTTATCATACTCGAATTCTAAGACTTTTCAACCTTAAATTCGTCCACCATATAAATAAGATAATCCTTACCTTATTTTGTAACTATTACATAATTACAAATCAGCCCCTCTAGTTTAATTAATTACATTTGATCACAAAACTAATTCTTAATTAATTATTGACCAATATTAATTAAACAAATATGATTTCTCCTTTAATATATAATTCTTATAACATATTAATAAATCATATTATCCTCCCTCTCTTTATTCTTTTCTCCAATCAAGTTGCTTTGGTGAAGGCAACCCAAAAGGACCATGCACCATCGGGTCAAGTACATACCAAAATAGTTATGGACTTAGACACTAATCCAACAGTCTCCCACTTGGATAAGTCTAACAACTATTCTGTTGGATAAGGTGTCTAAGTCCATAACTTATTTGGTATATACTTGACCCGACCGGCATGGTCCATTTGGGTTGCATCTCATCCAAACTATTATGGATAATTTTATGAGAGTTATACACATATGTTTATTAATATATTATGAGTTATAATATATTAATATGAAGTTACGTTATTTAATTAGTTTTAGTCTTAAATTAATTATGAATTAATTTAGAGATTAAAAGGAATACTAATTAAATTATGGGCTATTTGTTTTATATAGTGTGGGCTAATACTCATTTGTTAATGGGCTAGGCTTATGTGGAAGTCCATGGATGATCCATGGAGCTTTTAACCCATGGATCCTTGGAAAAGGAAAAGACATGGGTTATTAGGGTTTCACCCTAACCATGCACACTATATAAGCATGCTTATGGAGCATGAAATGGAGCCTAAGAGAAAACTAGTGAACTAGTGTGTGTGTGCATGTGTGTGGCCGATTTTATACAAGGTGTATACTCTCTCAAAGTTTTCCAAGAGTTTGTGGTGTTTGTGATTCCATTTGAGGCATTCACACTATTGGTGCTTGGCCCTCAAACTCCTTAGAACCAAACTCACCAAAAGGTATGTAATCTCTTCTAACTCTTTTATGTTGAAATGTTCCCCATGCCATGTTAGATAGGTTATAAACCTTGGAAAATTATTATTTTGCATGTATTTAGACAAACATAGATCCAAGGTTTATTAGGGTTGCATGCACACTTAGGAAGTGTTAGATTGCTCAAAACCCAACAGTGGTATCAGAGCCTAGGCTTGCTTGTTTGATACTTGATGCAAAATAGTGAAAAAAGTCGAAATCGTTGCTGTCTGCATGGTGGACTCGCCGAGTCCATTGGGGGGACTCGACGAGTCCAAGGCAAACTTCAACCTACTCGACGAGTCAGTTCATGCACTCGACGAGTAGGATCGAAAGAGTGCAGATTCTCGACTTTTGCTGCTGGAAATGGACTAGAAACATTACCCTAAATTGTTTTGGTGTTATAAAACTTATTTTAGTTGGTGTAATGGTTGTTCTAATCCATTTACAATAGCATATATCAAAATTCCATGATTTTATGTGTTCATATAATTCTTGAATTTTTGATGATCATGTTCATGTTCTTATGAATTTAGAAAATGATAGGAATTATTTGCTGAATTGTTTAGGATTAATTCTTTATCATTTATGTGTTTTAATGGAGTCCATAATTTGTCCTCAAGTTATGGATTACCAAAGGTCACTTTCATTTAACACACACTTAAAACACATAAGTTACATGAAAATGAAGAGTCTTCATTTTTATGAACCTTTAATTCATAAGTTATGAAATGAAGAGTTTTGCAAAGTTACAAAACTTGCCCTCAAGTTTTGGAATTTGTAAAGTTTCACACACTTTAATAAACTTTAATTCCAAACCTTAGAGTTTTAATAGTTAAAATTCAACCCTTATACTATTTATAACATTAATGGTTAATTATTATATATATGTATAAGAATAAGTCGTTTTACCGTTAGTAGGCCTCATTCACGAAGCCGGTCTATAAGGTGGGTATAAGGTTGTTGCCTATAAAATGGCGACTTAATGGGTGTATACTCTCACCCACCGCTTGCTTGATCGGTGGAGGGTCGTTAGCCGAACGGGTAGAACAATGACTTTAAATCCTCATTAAAAGTATAATGAATATTATAAAGTAACTAAACTCTTTTAATTCCCAATCTTAGTTATTTTAGGAAAAATGTGAACATGGTGCTAGTCCATGGAATTCACACTTTGTACCTTACCAAGTCGTTGGTGGAGCGTGTGTGGTTAACCGGCACACTAACTAGGACTAGTAAGGATCAC